TAGCGATCGCCTCGTCCTGCTTGGAAGTCCTTCTGATTCTGGGTCTGACCTTCGAAGTGGCCGTCTCCCCTCAACAAGTCCGACTCCTTCGGCTTGACGACATCGTAGCGTTCGCCAGCCTTGGCGCTGTACTCGCTGCGGTTGACGGTCATCTGCTCGACGCCGCCTTCCTTGTTCCAGATGTCTGATGCTCCAGGCTTCACAGCATCATAGCGATCGCCTCGTCCTGCTTGGAAGTCGCTTCTGATTCTGGGTCTGACCTTCGAAGTGGCCGTCTCCCCTCAGCAAGTCCGACTCCTTCGGCGACGACATCGTAGCGTTCGCCAGGCCTGGCGCTGTACTCGCTGCGGTTGACGGTCATCTGCTCGACGCCGCCTTCCTTGTTCCAGATGTCTGATGCTCAGGCTTCACAGCATCATAGCGATCGCCTCGTCCTGCTTGGAAGTCCCTTCTGATTCTGGGTCTGACCTTCGAAGTGGCCGTCTCCCTCAACAAGTCCGACTCCTTCGGCGACGACATCGTAGCGTTCGCCGGCCTTGGCTGTACTCGCTGCGGTTGACGGTCATCTGCTCGACGCCGCCTTCCTTGTTCCAGATGTCTGATGCTCAGGCTTCACAGCATCATAGCGATCACCTGTCCCTGCTTGGAAGTCGCTTCTGATTCTGGGTCTGACCTTCGAAGTGGCCGTCTCCCTCAGCAAGTCCGACTCCTTCGGCCCGACGACATCGTAGCGTTCGCCCGGCGTGGCGTTGTACTCGCTGCGGTTGACGGTCATCTGCTCGACGCCGCCTTCCTTGTTCCAGATGTCTGATGCGCCGGGTCGTACTGTATCCTAGCGATCGCCTCGTCCTGCTTGGAAGTCCTTCTGATTTACAAGGTCCGACGCTCCGCCGTGGCCGTCTCCCTCAACAAGTCCGACTCCTTCGGCCCGGCGACATCATCAGCGTTCGCCCGCCCTAGCGCTGTACTCGCTGCGGTTGACGATCATCTGCTCGACTCCGCCTTCCTTGTTCCAGATGTCTGATGCTCCAGGCTTCACAGCATCATAGCGATCGCCTCGTCCTGCTTGGAGATCCTTCTGATTCTGGGTCTGACCTTCGAAGTGGCCGTCTCCCTCAGCAAGTCCGAAACTCCTTCGGCTTGACGATCGTAATTCGCCAGCCCCCGCAGCTTTGCTCCCCGCGGTTGACGGTCATCTGCTCGACACGCCGCCTTCCTTGTTCCAGATGTCTGATGCTCCAGGCTTCACAGCATCATAGCGATCGCCTCGTCTTGCTTGGGAGATCGCTTCTGATTTTGGGTCTGACCTCCGAAGTGGCCCATTCCCTCCAACCCGTCCGACTCCTTCGGCTTGACGACGCATCGTAGCGTTCGCCAGCCTTGGCGCTGTACTCGCTGCCGGTTGACGCGGTCATCTGCTCGACGCCACCTTCCTTGTTCCAGATCATGCCCGATGCCCCAGGCTTCACAGCATCATAGCGATCGCCTCGTCCTGCTTGGAAGTCGCTTCTGATTCTGGGTCTGACCTTCAAAGTGGCCGTCTCCCTAAGCAAGTCCGACTCCTTCGGCTTGACGACATCATAGCGTTCGCCAGCCTTGGCGCTGTACTCGCTGCGGTTGACGGTCATCTGCTCGACTCCGCCTTCCTTGTTCCAGATGTCTGATGCTCCAGGCTTCACAGCATCATAGCGATCGCCTCGTCCTGCTTGGAAGTCCTTCTGATTTTGGGTCTGACCTTCGAAGTGGCCGTCTCCCCTCAGCAAGTCCGACTCCTTCGGCTTGACGACATCATGGCGTTCGCCGGCCTTGGCGCTGTACTCGCTGCGGTTGACGGTCATCTGCTCGACGCCGCCTTCCTTGTTCCAGATGTCTGATGCGCCGGGTCGTACTGTATCATAGCGATCGCCTCGTCCTGCTTGGAAGTCCTTCTGATTCTGGGTCTGGCCCTCGAAGTGACCATCACCTCGAAGCAGGTCGGATTCTTTCGGCTTGACGACGACATCGTAGCGTTCGCCAGCCTTGGCGCTATGCTCGCTGCGGTTAGACGGTCATCTGCTCGACGCCACCTTCCTTGTTCCAGATGTCTGATGCTCCAGGCTTCACAGCATCATAGCGATCGCCTCGATCCTGCTTGGAAGTCCTTCTGATTTTGGGTCTTACCCTCCAAGTGGCCGTCTCCCCTCAGCAAGTCCGACTCCTTCCGGCGGCGACATCGTAGCGTTCGCCAGCGTTGGCGCTGTACTCGCTGCGGTTGACGGTCATCTGCTCGACGCCACCTTCCTTGTTCCAGATGTCTGATGCTCCAGGCTTCACAGCGGCATCATAGCGTTCGCCTCGTCCTGCTTGGAAGTCCTTCTGATTCTGGGTCTGACCTTCGAAGTGGCCGTCTCCCCTCAACAAGTCCGACTCCTTCGGCTTGACGGCCTCGTAGCGTTCGCCAGCCTTGGCGCTATTCCTCGCTGCGGTTGACGGTCATCTGCTCGACGCCGCCTTCCTTGTTCCAGATGTCTGATGCTCCAGGCTTCACAGCATCATAGCGATCGCCTCGTCCTGCTTGGAAGTCCTTCTGATTTTGGGTCTGACCTCCGAAGTGGCCGTCTCCCCTCAACAAGTCCGACTCCTTTCGGCCCGACGACATCGTAGCGTTCGCCAGCCTTGGCGCTGTACTTTCGCTTGCGGTTGACAGCGGTCATCTGCTCGACGCCACAGCCTTCCTTGTTCGAGATGTCTGATGCTCCAGGCTTCACAGCATCATAGCGATCGCCTCGTCCTGCTTGGAAGTCCTTCTGATTCTGGGTCCTGACCTTCGAAGTGGCCGTCTCCCTCGAACAAGTCGGATTCTTTCGGCTTGACGACACGTAGCGTTCGCCGGCCTTGGCGCTGTACTCGCTGCGGTTGACGGTCATCGCTTCACGCCTGCCTTCGCTTGTTCCAGATCGTCTGATGCGCCGGGTCGTACTGTATCCTTAGCGATCTCCTCGTCCTGCTTGGAAGTCCTTCTGATTCTGGGTCTGGCCCTCGAAGTGACCATCACCTCGAAGCAGGTCGGATTCTTTCGGCTTGACGACATCGTAGCGTTCGCCAGCCTTGGCGCTGTACTCGCTGCGGTTGACGGTCATCTGCTCGGACGCCTCCCTTCCTTGTGCCAGATGTCCGATGCTCCAGGCTTCACAGCATCATAGCGGATCGCCCCTCGTCCTTCTTGGAAGTCTCTGATTCTGGGTCTGACCCTCCGAAGTGGCCGTTCCTCAAGCAAGTCCGACTCTTCGGCTTGACGACATCGTAGCGTTCGCCAGCCTTGGCGCTGTACTCGCTGCGGTTGACGGTCATCTGCTCGACGCCACCTTCCTTGTTCCAGATGTCTGATGCTCCAGGCTTCACAGCATCATAGCGATCGCCTCGTCCTGCTTGGAAGTCCTTCTGATTCTGGGTCTGACCTTCGAAGTGGCCGTCTCCCCTCAACAAGTCCGACTCCTTCGGCTTGACGACATCGTAGCGTTCGCCAGCCTTGGCGCTGTACTCGCTGCGGTTGACGGTCATCTGCTCGACGCCACCTTCCTTGTTCCAGATGTCTGATGCTCCAGGCTTCACAGCATCATAGCGATCGCCTCGTCCTGCTTGGAAGTCCCTCTGATTCTGGGTCTGACCTTCCGAAGTGGCCGTCTCCCCTCAACAAGTCCGACTCCTTTCGGCGGCGGCGTCGTCAGCGTTCGCCGGCCTTGGCGCTGTACTTTCGCTTGCGGATTGACAGCGGTCATCTGCTCGACGCCACAGCCTTCCTTGTTCGAGATGTCTGATGCTCC